TTGTGTGTGTGAATGAGAATTTGTAAATGTTGAATTCTAGGCTTCGACAATCATTGTCAGTGCAGATTAAGCTGCAAGTATTTATGTTTTAAAACTTAAATTATAAAGCTAGTTACGTCTTTCTAACAACTAGTTTTAATGTTCATGAGCATATTTTACCTACATTACTTTTTCAGGATGTTGAGATTCTCGTTATTTTCTTATTCTTGTTTTTGTTGGTAGTGGTGGAGGAGAGAGAGTTTCCCTTTTGATTTTGCTAGTCTGAGATTATTTCCTGTGTTTTTATGGTTGTAGTTAACCTCCTTAGCTTGGAGTTTTCCTTCTAGCACCTTCTGTAGTGCTAGATTTGTTGATAAATACTACTTAAATTTGACTTTATCATGGAATCTTATTTCCTCCACCCATGGTAATTGAAAGTTTTGCTGGGCATAATAGTCTAGGCTGGCCTCTGGTTTCTTAAGAGTCTACAGCACATCTGTCCAGGCCTTCTGGCTTTTAGAGGCTTCATTAAGAAGTTAGGTGCAATTCTAATAGGTTTATTTCTTTGTTCTGTATGTTTATTGTTTTGATGATTATGTGCTGAGGGGACTTTTTTTTTCTGCCCCACTCTATTTGGTATTCTGTATGCTTATACCTTTATAGACATCACTTCCTTTAGATTAGGAAAACTAGATTTTGTTGAAAATATTTTGTGTTCCTTTTGGCTGGGTTTCTTCATCATCTTCCTATTTTTCTTAGATTTGGTCTTTGCATGGTGTTCAGATTTCCTGGATGTTTTATCTTAGTTTTTTAGATTTAACATATTTTTTTGACTAATTATCCATTTTTTTCTGTCATACCTTCAATGCCCGAGATTCCGTGTTCCAGCTCTTGTATTCTGTTGGTGAAGTTTGCCTTTGTAGTTCTATTCAAATTCCTAAATTTTTCATTTCCAGAATTCCCTCAGTTTGGGTTTTCTTTACTCTCTTTCCATTTTCAGGTCTTGAACAGTTTTATTTATTTCTTTCTGTTTGTTATTGTTTTCCTGGATTTTTTAAAAGGGATTTATTCATTTCTCCTTTAAGGACTTATATTCCTAGTCATATCGGCTATTTTGAGTTCTTTTTTTCAGCTGTCTTGGAATATTTAGGGTCTGCTGTGGTAGGGTTCTGGGCTCTAGTGAAGACATATTTTCCTGGTTGTAATTGTGTTTTTACCTGGCATCTAGGCATCTGCTATTGGGATGATTACAGATCGATCTGTATCTGGTGCTGATATCTGGTTTTGTCTTTGTTGTGTGGGTGTTTTGTTCCCTTGGTTTCTGTTTCCTCTCTGGATTTTAGGAGAGTGTGATACCTGTGTGTTGCTTGGTAGGAAATTTTCTGTTTCTTTGCCTGCTCAGTTGTGTTCCCAGGAAATGCTTGTTGGTGTTGGAGGCTAGGATAATTGGATGAGGTGGGTAAGGAAGGTTGGAGGAGTAGATACTTTGTGATCCTTTGGCAATGGAATCAGAGGAAAGGGAGACTGCAGCAGGTCGTTACAGAGCTGGAGATGAGACTGGGGGATTGGATCTGGAAGAGCAGAAAGAGAGGTGAAAGTCAGCTTTCCTGGCAGGAGTGGCCTTTGGGTTAGTGGCCTATTGGGTAAAGTAGGGGGTGGGATTCAGAGGGGAACATTTTAGGAGGAAGAGGTTAGAAGGGGAAAATTTGTGAGATCTACCAGAGATGATTTTGTCGGGGGAGAGGTGGGGAGGCAGAGAAGGCTGCTTTTGAAGGTGTTTTGTTGTAGAGCTGTTGTGAGACTGGGGGATTGGGTCTAGAAAAACATATTAAGAGTCTGCCTTAAAGACATTTTTGGGGAATACCTTATTTTTAGGGAAATTTTAGAGTATTTTTTATATTGATTTGTAACAGTTTGGGGTGTTTTTTCCTCATTAGTAAAACTTGCTATTTTTAATTTTGGGAAAATTTAAATGTACAGTTATTTAATATGCAAACTGAAGTTTGATTTTTTTATTGTAGTAATGAAAAAAATTGCTGTTTCTATAGTGAGAAATATATCCATAAAGTTAAAAGCATGGTGGTTCATAGCTATTGTCTCAGCACTTAAGGCGTGAAGGGAAAATCAAGGTATTGAGGCCAGTCAGAGAGCATGAAGAGTTAGAAGCCAGCTTTGGCTACATATACGTAGCAAGACCTTGTCTCACGTTACCCCTCATAACAGTCATGCCAGTATTGCACCGTTGAGTGCTTCTTGCTTGGCAGGTTGGTATTGTAGCTTGAAAGGTCCAGAGATGGGTGCACACTTAGTGCCTTTTCTCCCATAAGATCCAGTGTCTTCTGACACCTATAAAAGCTATCAAGCAGAGAGGAAGAGAGGAAGCTTCTAATTTATTTCCCTCTTGATTACTGCAACTAAAAGTGTATGGTCTCTTCAATAGTGGGGTCTTATCATCTAGTTCTGGTGGGCAACCAAAGAGCTATAGCAATAGCCTGTATTGTTTTGAGGGCCTCTGGGGTCTCCCTGATTGGCAATGGGATTTTCTTTTAAAAAATGTGTGACTTCTGGGAGCAGCAATAAGATAAAGAGGATATTTTATTGTATTTCATTTTAAAAATAGAGGAGAGTAAAACAGTTAATTGTGTTTAATGGTGTAAGCATAATCTTGATTTTTATTTTCTTCTCAGATATAGCATTTCTACATTTTGTTTTTTCTTAAGTACAAAATTTAAGTGGCCAAACTTGATTTCATAAAGTTTGCATAAAGATTGCAGTTTAATTCCTCTATTTGACTTACATTCTGGATTTGTTTAAGTCTAGTGTGTACATTATAATTTAGTGCCTGTAAAGCTTACTAGCATTTTGTAGAAATTTCAGAATTTTAAAACTGGGACAAAAACCCAATCTTTATTTTACTCCTATACCTTCTGCCTAAAAATGCTATAATTTTTAATATTTTAAAATTATTCATTGCTGACATAATCCTAGCACATAATCCTAGCACTTAGCACATAATCCTAGCACTTAGCAGAAGCAGGAGGATTGTAAGATTGAGGCCAGCTGGGCAGCAAGACTGTCTTAAGGGTGATGGTACTCATCTGTAATATTTCTGCTGATAATATTGATTTGAAATTTTAATTGTGTGGAACAAATACATCTCTTTTCCATTCACCTAAAACTGCTCTCAGTCTTTCATCTAACCTTTTTCTCTTTTCCGTTTAAGTGAACATTTCACTACTGATTGTGGTTTTCTGTTTTGCAGAATAACAGCTATCCACCAATGTCAGATCCATATATGCCTAGTTACTATGCTCCATCCATTGGATTTCCATATTCTCTTGGAGAAGCAGCATGGTCCACGGCTGGAGACCAGCCTATGCCGTATCTGACAACCTATGGACAAATGAGTAATGGAGAACATCATTACATACCAGATGGTGTTTTTAGTCAACCAGGGGCATTAGGAAATACCCCTCCATTTCTTGGTCAACATGGATTTAACTTTTTTCCTGGTAATGCTGATTTCTCTACATGGGGGACAAGTGGATCTCAGGGACAATCAACACAAAATTCTGCTTATAGTAGCAGTTATGGCTATCCACCTAGTTCTCTTGGGAGAGCTATTACTGATGGACAGGCTGGATTTGGCAATGATACTTTGAGTAAGGTGCCTGGCATTAGTAGTATTGAGCAAGGCATGACAGGACTGAAAATTGGTGGTGACCTGACGGCTGCAGTGACAAAAACTGTAGGTACAGCCTTGAGCAGCAGTGGTATGACTAGCATTGCAACCAATAATGTGCCCCCTGTGAGCAGTGCAGCACCTAAACCAACTTCTTGGGCTGCTATTGCCAGAAAGCCTGCCAAACCTCAACCGAAACTTAAACCCAAGGGCAATGTGGGAATTGGGGGTTCTGCTGTGCCACCACCTCCTATAAAACACAACATGAATATTGGAACTTGGGATGAAAAGGGGTCAGTGGTAAAGGCTCCACCAACCCAACCAGTTCTGCCTCCTCAAACTATAATCCAGCAGCCTCAGCCATTAATTCAACCACCACCATTGGTGCAAAGCCAACTGCCTCAACAGCAGCCTCAGCCACCACAACCACAGCAGCAACAAGGACCTCAGCCACAGGCTCAGCCTCACCAAGTGCAGTCTCAACAGCCACAGCTGCAGAATCGCTGGGTAGCTCCTCGGAATAGGGGAACCGGCTTCAACCAGAACAATGGAGCGGGCAGTGAAAACTTTGGTTTAGGTGTTGTACCTGTTAGTGCTTCACCTTCTAGTGTAGAGGTGCATCCAGTGCTGGAAAAACTAAAGGCCATAAACAACTATAATCCCAAAGACTTTGATTGGAACCTGAAGAATGGACGTGTGTTTATAATTAAGAGCTATTCTGAGGATGATATCCATCGTTCTATCAAGTACTCTATCTGGTGTAGTACTGAGCATGGTAATAAGCGTTTGGATGCAGCTTACCGTTCTCTGAATGGTAAAGGCCCACTCTATTTACTCTTCAGTGTGAATGGCAGTGGACATTTTTGTGGAGTGGCTGAAATGAAGTCTGTTGTGGACTATAATGCATATGCTGGTGTCTGGTCTCAGGATAAGTGGAAGGGCAAATTTGAAGTTAAATGGATCTTTGTCAAAGATGTTCCCAATAACCAATTACGACATATTCGCTTAGAAAATAATGACAACAAACCAGTAACCAATTCAAGGGACACTCAAGAAGTACCCCTAGAAAAAGCAAAGCAAGTGCTTAAAATAATTGCTACTTTCAAGCATACCACCTCAATCTTTGATGACTTTGCACATTATGAAAAGCGTCAAGAGGAGGAGGAAGCCATGCGAAGGGTAAGTAAGAATCCAGTCATTTTTGTGTGAGGATTCATCCTCATGGGTGGAGTGTATTGAATGGCATCCTTTTTATACCTCTTAATATTATAGTTTATGCACTTTATTCTGAGAGAAATCAAAAGCTTAAGAAACAGAACTCTAAACTACCTCAAATCCACAGCCCTTCTAGTCACTGTTCTTAAATATTGGTTTTATGAGAAAATACATTTAAAATTTGGAGCACTATTTTCAAATAAATGTTTGCTATTGCTTTGTTTCATGAGAAAGGTGGTATGTGTGTGTGTGTGTTATGTAAAACTATAGTATATATTTTATAGGACCAAAATGTGTAACAAAATAGAACAAGAATTAGGAAGGGAGATCCGAAGGTCATGACCTTTAGAATTAGATCTGTAGCATTTGATTTTCTCATGTTAACACTCTTTCTCTGAGACTCGGGGAGACTTTCTGAATTTACATATATTTGTATATGACTGGAATGTCCCAAGGTAAGACAGGCTTGAGTTGCTGTCTCTTCAGAACTAAACATCAATTTGGGGGCCTGATTTTAGATGTAAAGAGAATGGGGAGGGTAGGATGCTGTAGATAATGCTCTATATAAATAAAACACTGATGGCCAGTGACCAGGCAGGAAGTAGGTTGCCAGGCAGGAAGTAGGTGGGACAAGGAGAGAGGAGAATTCTGGGAAGCGGAAGGCTGAGGGGGGAGACACTGCAGCCACCGCCAGGACAAGCAGCATGTAAAGACTCTGGTAAGCCACCAGCCACGTGGCAAGGTGTAGATTTATAAAAATGGGTTAATTTAAGATAAAAGAACAGTTAGCAAGAAGCCTGCCACGGCCATACAGTTTATAAGTAACATAAGCGTCTGAGTGATTATTTTATACATGGATTGTGGGACTGTGGGGCTTGGGGAACCTGGAGAGAAGCCCTCCAGCAACAAATGGTGCCCAACGGCTCGAGTTTCCACCTTAAACCTGAGAATATTTAATAACTATGAGACAGTGGATCTGGAGAACAATTTGGAATGTGGACAGTTTGATGTGGGTAAAGATGTTGTTTTGGGATATGCTTATTTTTTAAGATCTTTGAAAAATAGAGGTAGAGCCTTCCTTGATATAGACAGTTGAGATGGGACTCAGACTTGGGGTTTTTGTTCTTCCATGGCTGCGCCTGTTGAAATGGGATGAGATTGTCCAGGAGAAAAGATATGACAAAGAAATATTTATAAGATTTTTCATTCTTCTACTACAAGTACATTTTTTTATGTCTCTTTCCTATCTAGTCTGAAAATTTAGTTGTGGTTTCACTAATTTTATTTATTTATTTATTTATTTATTTATTTATTTATTTATTTATTTATTTATTTATTTATTTATTTTTCGAGACAGGGTTTTTCTGTGTAGGCCTGGCTGTCCTGGAACTCTGTAGATCAGGCTGGCCTCGAACTCAAGAGATCAGCCTGCCTCTGCCTCTCAAGTGCTGGGATTAAAGGCGTGCACCACCACCGCCTTGCTTAATTTTAATGTTTTAATCTTATTTACTGAGTTTTCCCCTCCTGAATATTTTGGCAGTGGGAGTTCTTCAGCTTTCTTTTCCAGGCAACAAGATTCCTGTGGAAGAGCCAATTTGGCATATCCTATCTGCCTTATGTAGTTTAAAATGTCAGGTTCTCTTATTTCAGAATGAGAAGTTTCAGGGGAATTTGAATTTTCAAGAGAAATCTATTCCAGTCAGTATATAGGTACTGTCTCATTGTTTGATGTGGACACATTCTTAGATTTGAACAGCCAGTTTTCATTATATTTGAGTAAAATGAAGTTTCATGAAAAGACCAAGATAAAAAAATTGGATAGTTCATGGAGCAAAAGATAGTTTAAAATATAGAAGCCAGGTGTAGTGGTTCACTCCTTTAATCCCAGCACTCAAGAGGCAGAGGCATGTGATTTCTGAGTTTGGGGACAGTCTGTTCTACATAGTAACTTCCAGCACAGGTAGAGCTATGTAGAGAGACCCTTCAAAAACAAACAACTGTATATAGAACATACATACATACATTACATACACATATAAAACAAAATTACAATCTGTCTTGTAGGAGGGATTCCTATTCCTACATGATTGGAGCAGAATACTCAAAAGTGTTTCTGAAAACTTAAAACATGATTATCAGAATAAAAAATTGGTTAGCCAGCAAATTAATGGGAATATATTTCCATGATAGATCTTCTTAAAGCTTTAGAAGTTCATATTGAAAACACTAACCAAATGCAGAACAGTTGACAGGAAAATATAGTGGTCTGAGTTTTTTAAGCAGCAGGAAAAAAACAGTGGGAAGGATAATTACAGGAACCTTTCCAGGATCCCATGTTTTCAGATGGAATAATTAAATGATTAGCAGATTAGTTTAAAATAATAAAAGACACGAAAGCAGAAAAATCTTAAGACTTCCTAAATAAAAGATACTGCAAAGGAAGGATAAGCAGGTTAATCAAAAATGTTTCCTGTCTTCTCTAACCCTAGGTATGAAAAGGGAAATATTTCAAGGTGCAGTAGAGGGGGGGTATAGAATTGCATCCCTCAGGTAGGTAAAGCAATGAAGTCCAGGCTTATAAGAACTTAGCCTCCATAGTTTTTGTTTTTTTGAGATAGGGTTTCTCTATGTAGCCTTGGCTGTCCTGGAACTTGCTCTGTAGATCAGGATAGCCTCAAACTCACAGAGATCTGCCTGCCACTGCCTCCATAGTACTGGGGTTAAAGGCATACGCCACCACTGCCTGGCTTCCTCTGGTTTTTAAAAGAAAGGTTGAAAGAGGCATTTCAACAAAATGAAAAAAGAATCAAAGAAATGCTGATAATTCCTGGTAGCTATTGGTTATACTGGAATAAATACCCTCTCACAGGGACCCTGAACACATTTTCAGTTAAACAGATTTGTTTCTCAAGAGCAGTAAGAGTCTTTAAGCCTAACATATAAAATGGGCTTATGATTGGGAGCCACTATCCTTGGCAGGTAGAGGAATATGGGAAGAAGAAGGGGGGGAAAACCTGTAGATAATCTTTGTTGATACAGGTATATAAGCTGATTGAGAGCAAGAGAGTTTGCTCTTTGTTCATTTCTTAGTATCAGGTAAAAGGACTGTCACAGAGCCTTTAAGAAGATACTGCCAAGTGAGTAAATGCTTGAAAGCAGTGGTTTTCAACCTTCCTAATGCTGTGACCCTTTAATACAGTTCCTCATGGTATTGTGACCCCAACCTTAAAATGATTTTCAAAATGATTTTCTTTGTTACTTCGTAACTGTAATTTTGCTCCTCTTATGCATTATAATGTAAATATCTCTGTTCTCTGATGGTCATAAACCACTTCTGTGGGTCTTTCACACCTAAAAGGGCCATGACCCAAAGGATGAGAACTACTGCTCTAAAGACTTTCAAAGTTTGTGTCTCGGAATTTTTCTTCCTCATTGGTCTAATCTGTAGTATTTACTGGTTGTTCAGCATATATAATAAATGCTGCCTGTGGATATGATTTCTCCATTTGTACAAACAGTAAGTTATAAAAGTTCAGTGCTAGCTAGAACATTAGGAGATGGGGTAGGAAACACATGCACATTTTTATCTTTCTGAAGTCAGCACAGTTTATTCAAATACTATGGTAATTTAGGAACTAGTGCCTTAGGCATATTATTTAAAGCCCTGAGATACAACACTGATACTCTAGGCCCAACTTCTTTACAAGTGGCAGCCTCAAGCTGGGCCTAGAGTCACACCTGAAGCCCTGATTGGTATGAGAGATTTCCTTTAGAATCTAAGTCATTTTTGGCAGAATTTAGTTTAAAGCTTGCCAGACCAAGAGCCTTGTTTTGTTTCCTTTTGATGATAAGCTACTTTCTACCAGACTGAAGAAGCAGCATTCTTGGTAGAGTGCTTGCCCGGCATTTAGGAAACACTACATAAAATCATTTTTTTCTGTTAATTTCTTCATTTTTCCTGTTTTTTTTTTGTAGTACACATTTAGTTTATTTGATCTTTGGCAAAAATGATTGGTTTATATTTCAGTAGAGTGTGTTTTTCAAGTCTTAAATATTAAAAAATAGTTACATGGTGTATTCAGAGTTACACAGTGCACAGGTTAGAGGACAACTTGAGTCTGTCTCTCCTTGCATCTTGGGTTGTGATGTTAGACAGTTAACATGTGTGCTGCAAGTGCTTTAAACAGGTGAGCCATCTCATGAGCCACCGAAATACTTACTTTGTAAGTGCAGACTTCGTCACTGGGACCTGTTAGTGTAGTTGTAGATCAAACTGTGTCTGGGCAGAGAAGGGCAAGGATAGTATTAGAATAGGAATAGAAATTTAAAACAACCGCTTTATTCAAAGCATACTCATTGCCTTTTCCCTAGTGGCTCTAATTTAGAATTTGTTGTGTACTGCAGACTTCTTCTGTTTTCTTTTGCTTTCTAACAAAAAAGGAGCTACCTTTGTTGGGGCAGATTGTACCAGAAACTTAGCTCAGGCTTGTACAGAATGAAAGGCCACACATGCTCTGGCTTCTGAATGGATAGGGTTGTTAAACCATTGTAACTGTCCTTATCCTACATATTCTTTTAACACTATTTAGTATTGGGGTGTGTGTGTGTTTTTGTGTGTGTGTGTGTGTGTGTGTGTGTGTGTGCGCGCGCGCACGCGCGTGCATAGAATATGTGCATGTCATAAGACGTGTAGTGGTCAGAGGGCAGTTTTGTGCAGTTAGTTCTTCCACATGGGTTCTAGAGTGGTTTCATCAGTTTGTGCTACACTTGCCTAACCCACTGAGCCACGGCACCATCCTTGTGCATCCCTACTCTGGAGCCTGGATCTTTCTAACATTTACAGATGTTCTTTCATGTAAGCCATCAAGTTTCCTGAAGCATTGAATCTATGAGCTATTTTAACTTCAGTCTTGGTCCATCTTAATTATATATAGTACAGGCTTTTCCTACATCCTTGTATTTTCTCAGCAATATCCTTTTCTGTTTCAAAACCCAGTCTGGATACCAGCGTTGCATTTTGTTATGTTTCTTAATTACCTCCAGTCTATTATGGTTTCTCTGTCTTTGTTTCTCCTTTCATTTTTAAAGACTACTGACTAGGTGGGTTTTCTGTTCATTTTGTTGTTATTTGTGTGTTTGAGTGTTTTGCCTGCATGTATGTCTGCACCATGTGCATGAAGTGGTGGAGTCTGGAAGAGGTTGTTAAATCCCCTGGAACATGAGTTACAGAATGATTGCTAGATGCCAAATGAATGCTGAGAATCAAACCTGGGTCCTCTGGAAGAGCAACCAGTGCTCTTAACCACTAAGCCATCTCTCCAAACACCTGCCCAGGTGTTTTTTTTTTTTGTTTTTTGTTGTTGTTGTTGTTTTGTTTTTTTTAATGTCCCTTAATTTTAGGTTGCTTCAAGCATTCATTAGATTGAGGTTATGAATTTTGGCATGGCTATAACAAATGTGTTCATTTTATCATATGTCACTTAGTATTGGTGATTTTAACTTTGATTATTTATGTGAGTGCCTTTTAGGTTTCTTGTGTCTGTTTAGTTGTTTGTTTTTTTATTTTATTTTTTTGTACTATACTGTTTTTTTTTCCTAACTCAGATATTATTAGGGAGTGAGTGATCACTTACCCCTTTAGTATATAAACTACTTTTTTTTTTTTTAATTAAAAAATTAGATTTTGCCTGTGCCTTTAATTCCAGCGCTTGGGAGGCAGAGGCAGGCATGGATCTCTGAATTTGAGGCCAGCCTGGTCTACAGAGTGCATTCCATGGTAGCCAGGGCTACACAGAGAAACTCTATCTGGGGGGCAAATTAGTGGCTCTTATCTACAAAAAATACTTTGTTTGTTTGTTGCATTTGACTTTTGAGTGTTTTGCTTTGCCTTTTCCAGGCATTCACCACCTCCTTCAGCTCAACTTCAGCTCATTTTCTTACTGGGTGCTGTACCTTTGTGGCTCATTTGCAGGCTTAGGTCTGGTTGTAGAAATGATACTAATGATAATGAACCTCAGGTCATTAGAAGGAAAATTGGCAATTTGCCTATGATATAAAAGAAGCTACAAGGCCTTCTTAGGATACTGGAAAAGTCTTGTTTTCTAACTCCTTTCTAGTTTGAAGGAGATGGAAGTCTTAGCTCTGTCAAAAGAATAGAAGATAGTAAATGTGCCAAATATCCATGGGCATATTTGTGGTCCTGGCCCTGTGCTCTTCATTCATCTCTCTAGTGTTTTATGCTTAGTTGGGGTAGGGAAGACCTCTTCTATTACATGGTTGTTTTCCTTGAAGACTCAGTAGCTCTCCTATCTCACTGTCAGCTCAGTGGAGGCATTTTGCTATGGATGGAAAATGGAGGAAGGATTTTTCTCCTCAATTAGTTTTTAAAGTATCATTTAGTTATTAGAGTAAAAATCTAATTTTCTGAATCACTCTGGATTATAACATAAAAGAATGACTTTCTGCATAATTAATCCTTTCCTAGGTTGCACTGAATGGTAACCCTCTATATGTAAATCATGTTTCCCTCATCTCTCTTAGCTTTAACAGCACATGTAATTGTGATGCCAACTGTGTGATAAATTTCTCATTTTGTAATAAGTCGATGAGATCATTGGCAATCCATCATTTCTAAGTCTCATTTTCTTCTGATCTGCAGCTGATAGCCTATAAATATTTCATTTTGAATATATACTTAATTTGAGACGCAACCCTACCTTTTGGAAGTGTAAATGTGGATTTTTGTTCTCTCTCTCTCTCTGTTCATGTGTAGGTAGGTGTAGATATGCTTATCAGTTCTCACCTTGCATCTTGTTTGAGACAGGGTCTCTTGTTGTTTACTAATAGTGTATATGCTAAGCTAGTTGGCCTGAGAGCCTCCAGGAATTCCAGATGTGCATTACCTGTCCGGCTTTTAGTGCATACTGGGGATCAGAACTGAGGTCCTCATGTCTGAGTCATGAGTCATTGAGCCATCTCTCAGCCTTATTACTGTTTTGAAAGAAATGTATTATATATTTCTGGGGACTCAAGTTTTCTTGGTGTACATTTACTATACACTGACAATTTCCAAATTTGCATTCCCATCCTGAATGGTCTTACTATATCCAGGAGCATCTATTTCGATCTGTATTTGAAGTCCTCACTCGTAAACATCTTAAATCCAATATAATCCCTATTTCTTTGCATGGCCCTGACTCTTTCTCTTCCTTTTAGATGGCAGGGCACTATAATGTTCCTCTTTTAAAAAATCATATAGGTATAATTGTTGTGTGCCTGTGCATGAAGTTTGGGGAGGGAAACACGCATTTCCCAACATGCCTGTGAAGGTTAGGGGGACAACTTAGAAATTGGTGGGTTCTGTGGATCAGATTCAGGTCTTCTCAGCAAGTACCTTTCCTCACTGCACAACCTTGCCAGCCCAATACTTCTCTTCCTTGCTTCTGATCTAATCCATCAGTAAGTCTTGTGGCTACACTTTAATATTTGTTCTGAGTTTCTCTCTGGCTCTGCCTTTTTAAAAGTTGTTCATTTTGTCTTAACCTTCTCGACTTACTGGCATATTGCCATTCTTGGTGCTTTTATTTCATCCTAACAATTATTTATTTATTTATGAGACAAGCTCTCCTATGCAGCCCTATGTCACCTGCCTCAGCCTCTCAGGTGCTGAGATTACAGGTGGTGTGCTACCAAGACTGGCTGTTTGAGTTTTCAAAGCAGTCATTCACTGGTTACTAAAAATTAGCTTTTAATTTTTGTTTTGTTGCACATTTGAATATTTTTTGAAACTCTACTGATGTAAATTTTTAGTTCTTTGGTAGGCTATAATTAACATTTTATTCATAGAAAAATGTTCTAACATCAGATATTTTTTGAAGAATTTAGAGGTGTAAGAATTTTTAGGTGTGTGCGTGCGTGCGTGCGTGCGTGCGTGTGTGTGTGTGTGTGTGTGTGTGTGTGTGTGTGTGTGTTTGCTTACTTGCTTATCTGTTTTGCTTCTGAAATTGATGTTCAAAAACAGTGTGTGTGTAGAATTGATTCTTTGGGCCAGCAAAATGGCTCAGTAGGTAAAGGTGCTTATTGCCAAGTGTGGTGAGCTGAGTCTGAACTCTGGAACCTACAAGATGGAATGAGGAAAGTGACTGCCACAAGTAGACTAATTCCCCCCCCCCCGCCCCCACCCCAATACAGAGGTTTTTAGAAAAGTACAAACAATTGAACACTGGCATTATTGGAACTTGCATTCTGGGCTGTCATGTGGTCATAGCCTTGTGTCCTAGTTAGAACTCTGAATTCAGTTTTCTGTGATTTTTATGTTTAACTTTTGATGTACTTGTTTTACTAAGGAAAACTTGTTACATTCTCCTATTATAAATTTGCTAACTATTGTTACAGCTTTTGGAAACTTGAATGTACCATTTATACCATTCAAATGTCTGTCTATATAGCAGTAGCTTTCATCTCTGATTATTGAATATTTTGTCTGACATGATTTGGTCTATGTTGTAATGTGTATCTGTTACCTTAACTTTTCTTTGTCCATGTGTTTTGGATTTATTTCTCATAAATATGTAATATGAGATTTAAAAATGCTTTTGGTTTTCATTTTCATGGATGAATGTACATTATGACTCATGTTATAAAAATTAAGTATTTGTTTTCCCTCTTATTTTCTAATCTAAGATCTTTTAGTCTTCTCATCTTTTAGAATTATGGAGTTTTCTTTTATAGTTTTCTTTACTATCTCCTTTTCTGTCCCTTGACTTGAAAGTTATGTTTTATAAAGAGAGATGAATTAAGTATATAATCAGTGTATTTTAGTGATTTTTGTAAAAGTTGATTACAGGAGCTGGAGAAATGGTCCAGAGGTTAAGAGCGCTGCTTCTGGAGGTCCTGAGTTCAATTCCCAGCAATCATATGGTGGCTCACAACCATCTATAATGAGATCTGGTGCCCTCTTCTGGCTTGCAGGCATACATGCAGGCAGAACACTGTATACATAATAAATAAATAAATCTTTTAAAAAAAGTTAATTACAGTTCAAACTGAAACATTCTATTTCTTTTTTTAAAATACATTATTCTCATTGTTGTAACTGATTCTCACCTTCCTGTCTAATGTAGCCTTAAGTAGTTACCTCTTCACCTCCCCCTCTGATCTCTGTTCCCTCTAAAATAGCAAACAATCCCCCTCAGGAGACAGTCTTGGGTCTTCTTTATTTTTGATATAAAAAGTTGCAATATACTAAATTTGAGAATAAGTGGTGGACACTTTTTAATCAGAGTCATTTAAAAATTATACTGACCTCTTAATATACCTTTAATGCAGTGTTGTCTCCATCTCAGCCAATAAAAAGCTTTTAAATTGATATACTACACTATTTAAACTTCACTTGGAAGGACTCAGAAGAGCATAATATTCTTACCTTAAAATAGGAATGTAAAGAGGATATAAACTATCTTGAAATAGGCCTTTGTTTTTGGAGTTGCTTATTTAAAAGGTTTGTATCAATCATCTTACTGTGATAAATAGAGATAATAATTAGTAATTGAAGAGCTGTGTCTAGAGATGATTTGCATTATATGTACCTGTAGTTAAAATCACTACATGGTGATTGTATTATGTTATAATATTTATATTTTTCTTTCAGGAGAGAAATAGAAACAAGCAATAACCACCGTGTGGAGATGTCCTATTAAAATGACAACACTAATGATGTAGACTCTGGAAATGCCTAATAAGTCAAAGAAGACGTTATTAAAGCTTTTTTTTTTTTTTCTGCTTAAGGTGACATCTTTGAACACTTTAACACGAAACTGACTCTTCTTGTAATGGTTTTCATCAGCGCATCTGCCCTTATACTCTCACCAAACACACTTGAGAACTGTAACTTCATCAAGCACTTTCTGTCCTGAAGCTTTGACCAGTACCTGCTGTCTTTTGTAATTATGCATCCTAGCTAAGGCACAGAAGACTGAATGAATGCAAGGATTCATTAACTTTTGAATTTGTTAAGTACTAACAGTTAACCATTAGAAGTGGTTCAATGATGTAAGAGTCTCACTGCTTCAACCTTTTCTTTGTTGTAGTTTTTAAATTGTCCATTGTTAGCTATTTGACAGATTAAAAGCAAAATAATCATGCCATATTTAGTCCTGGAGTTGTTCAAGTCTGAATGTTTATGTGAAAAATTATTGTAGCAAACTTTTAATATGGCAAAGCAACCTTATGCTCTATTTTAGCCAAAAGAAACATAATCTAAAATTATATTAGAACATTGCCCTTGTCTTCAAACTATTGGTGTAACAGAATATTGATATGCAGCTTGGTGGACTCAATTAATGCACACCCCCCTCCCCAATTATATGTACATTGGTTTGAGGGATGATTTTTGTTTCTACCACTTAACCGAATCTCAACATTTTGAGTAAATGTACCTCAGTCTACTCAGACTTTTTATGACCTTTATAACTACGTTTAAAACCCTTCAATCCTGTTTCTGGGTGTTTGCGAGCGGATTGCTATCATGAAATAAAAATTTATTACTCTAGGTACTCACTAGCTAAATAAACATAGTTCTTGTTTAGCAAGCATATACTGTTCCTCAACTCTTTTCCAGCTTTTGCAGTGTCCTGGCATCCTTAAAATACTTTGAAAATATGGCCTTGATCCATGAATTAAATCAGTATCTAAGTGAATGTGTTGATGTTTTATTGATCAGATCTATATAAGTGGGAATACAGCATATATCTGGGTATTCTTATAGTTATCTTTTTAACATCCTATTTTTTTCATATCAACATTAATTTTGTATCTTGAAACAAATTGATTTTGTATAATTGAATGTGTTGTGCATCTGTATTGAGTGATTTGATGGCATAAGGTTATGAAAATAATGTCCTACCCCTTATATTACTGTTTTGAAAGGAGAAAGCTATGTAGAATGATATGTTAAAGGTGAAAATAGCAATACAGTAGATTTGAATACCTTGATGTTTTGCATTACTCCATTTATGTTTACATCATATTTAGAGATACTTTCATTTGCTCTCGTCTTTGCTCACTTCAACTCAAAAGCCTCGTCATGGATATTTCTTTGAAACTTTGATTTATATAATTTTTTGTACAATGTTTTAGAATGTGCAAATATTGTATTTTTTATTAGAATACAGTATTTGTAGATAACCATAGCTACTTCACAGTTACTTGGTAGTCCCAGTGTAGTTATGTCAGTGTTTACTGAAGGGAACATCAAAATATTAATGGTATATTAAAGAATGAACTTTCATAAAGGAAAATTGCACCTATTTTACCTTTTTGAGACTAAGCCATGAAATCTTGTAACATGTCTCTTAACTATTTATAATGAAAATTGGCATTTGGGTATAGTCAGCACAGCAATGTTCTATATCCTTAAGATTGTATAGGTAGGACATTTCAAAGATGACTCATGTCATTCTGGAGCTCCTACTAGAGAAAACTGTAAAAGGGTGACCTTGTAGGAAGGAGCTGAGTCCTCCCCCTGAGGTTCTCTTTTTCTTGGTGCTTTATTAGCAACTCTGGATATTTTTATAAAACTAGTTACATTATAAACTAATTCAGTCTTGTTTAATTTACATTAGGTTTTATGTAAGAAATGTCATCAGATACCCAATGAGCAGGCTGACTGCAGTAGACTCAGACAGGGCCAGTGTAGCTGAGAGTCTGTTCGTGGTGAGAAGAACATCCCAGTGCCTTTAACCTGAATTTCTAATCTTAAGTGAAATGGGTGCAGCATTCCTTTGGGAAAAAAAGCTTCCACTTGGTAACTTTGTGTTTTTCTCACCTAAGTATTCCCCAAAGCACCAGCCTTCTCTTCCTTCTTGGTCAGTCAGTATATTGCAAGATTATTTTTCCATTAAGTGAAATCATTACAGGTTGTCTCTATAGCACAACCAACAGAATGTTTCTTAACTGCAGGGACCAAAAGGGAGAGAGCCTGGGCTCTACAAGAGTAGATATGTAATAAAATGTTTCAATAATCTTAAATTAAGACATTATTGGTCCCGTGATTTCTTGCTTAATGTTTTTCCAATTTGTCATTTGAATGATTCTTATTAAAGTTATCTTATGTGGGTATTTTATTTTTAAAGGTATTATAGTTTGTATATTTAACAGTAAGGGGGAAAGTGTAACCAAAATTAGTATTCTCTCACTATACATATTGGTACTTGAAAATTCCTTAAAAAAACAAAAAAACAAAAAACTCAGCCTTTTAGTGCTTAATTCCTCATTTTAACGTGATCTTTCTAATTGAAAAGCTGTGTTATTTTTGAGTACCATGCATGAAGGTTAAGCTGATGTTTAAACAGTTTGCAATAAAAAAACTCAATCAGCTTAAGTCATTCAATCATTTCAAGTGCATTCTGCATCCTTTACAAGTAAGTTTGTGAGATTTTAAGAGAATTGTGTTTTCATTAAGTTTTGCATATCTTTTGTTATGCCATGTAAATTCCCTTTTTCATATGATTAAAGGAAGGGTATGATGAAATGATTAGTTCATTTACATTCACTTGTAGCAGTTACAAATGAGAATTTGAATTTTGTCGTGTTTGGGTTTGTTCATTCCTGTGAATGATGGTACAGTAGGTGAGATTTTTTTTTTTTGTTATGGTACCGAACTCACCATTTGGTCCTCTTTAATCTTTGAGGGTTTCAATAAAAATTGTTCACTCATATCGGTGTTCTTTCCTTTTTATCTATCTTTATAAATATATGCTGCTTGCTAGGAAATATCTTTTGCCTATTATGATTTTCCTGATTGGCAAATGCATGTAAGTTACTCATTTTAGTTGGTCATTTAGATTGAGTGAATTAAAGACAGGGAGGATCCCTTTATTCAATCTAATCAGCCTGTTGGCTTACATGTTCTTAATACTTAAGAGAAAAGAGGAAGAGAAGGCCTTTTTTTTTTTTTTTAAATGCAGCAGGAGGAAGTAGTAATGCCAGCTGTCTAAGAGCCTATCTCTTTCTTGGCCCCAAGGAATGGTTTTCTAACAGTTATACATTATCTTTTAGAATTCATGGAATTTATCTGGATGGTATGTTCATCATTAACTTAGCTCTCTATAAAGCATTTGTTTGGGTGAGAAAGCTAACATTTTAGTTTTGTGTTCTCAAAACCAGTTGTTTGTATACAAGAATCACTGGCTGTGTCCAGTGCACCCACTGCAGTAGCAGCAGGAGCCTCCTTTTGGTCTCCCCAAGAGAAAGTATGTGTTTCATTAGTGTACATAGAATTGAGGGTAGTCATTAGTCACCTGTAGTTAGAACCAGATTATTCTTCACTGATCTTGCTTCTCAGTGCTGGATTTGGGGATTTCTGTTCTAGGAACTAAGATATTCCTAGAGTTAACTGATCAAAGTGGTTAACTTTACTTTCTACTTCTATAGTACTTACCAGTATATAATCTCAAAATGTAGTAGTTTTCCCCTGCTAAAATGACAGACAGAATTCTTGTGTAGTACCTGTATGTAGTGGTAGTAGGCTAGGTACAGTTTATTCGTAAGTAGTGCACTAAATCCAGAATTGATTTAATGTTGGTTATCTATGTAACATTGGAGCTAAATTTAAGTGAAAAACTATTCCCATGAAAATGTAAAATGAAGATAGGGATTCAGAGTAACTGCCCAGGGTGAATCCCCACCTCTTCTGCCATCCTACTTGGTCCTTCAAAGAACATATATTTGAAGAATTCATATATTAAAGTTGGATTTTTACATGCTGTGCATTTGGAAACACTGGATGATGGAATTGCATTTAGGGGATATAGGAATAAGTCAGTTGAGTTACATCTAACTGATGGGATGACACCGAACCAGTCTCTTAGTTGTTAGTGTGCAAATAGAATACAGCTAAGATTGTGCATTTCTGAGATTTTGTAACAGGATTTATTTAGACAATTAGAGTTGTAGGCTATGGTAGTGTCTAATGATGTCAAATGTTTTTCCTTTGAAAGTAAGTTTGGCCAACCATGTGATTTTTGTGTGTCAAGAGTATTAAACATGTCCCAAAGACATCCATTTTTTTTTCTTCTACCATTTCATAGTATCTTTTTATTCTTCATAAATCAGGTTAGAGCAATTTTACAGAAAATCTGAAAGAATATTTAGAGTTCTTACCTACTTTGTACCCAGCTCCTCGAGTTCCTGATATCTTAGAAATTAATGAGTATGGATCCTTCATTTCCTCAATGTACACTTTAAAATTTCTCTTAGTTTTTACCCAATGTTCTTTTGTCAGGTTCCCCCAAGAGTACCATGGCACTTCTAGTTTTCACATCTCCTTGGTTATAGTGGTTTCTTGGGCTTCTGTTTGATGATAATGATTGATACTGTGGAGAATATTCCTCCTTTGGAATGTAGCTGGTAGGTAATTCTGTTTACTTGGGTTATACGTTTTAGGGAGGAGGACTACACACATGAAGGGCTTTTTTTTCTGTCACATGTCAATAATGTGACTGGTGATGACTGGCTGAGGTGGCGAATGTCAGGTTTCTTAAATTTACTCTTGTGTACGATGTCCAAGGTTAAACCTAGAGTCTGGCACATTCTAAGTACTCTACTGCTGGCCCACTTAGCTTCCCTTTGTCTTATGAGACAAGGGTATGATGGCTAATCATGAATGTCAGCTTATTTGAACTGAGAAGTACTTCTGGGGTGCTTCTGTGAGAGTGAAGACTTTTTCCAGGGACCATTAAATAGGCGAGGACTAATCCTGAATGTGGAAGTAGCATCATCTACTAATAGACTGAGGGCTCAGAGGGAATAAAAGGAGAAGAAAGAAATGTAAACATCTCTGCTTCCTGGCCACTATGATGCGCCACCCTTCTGCCATGATAAAACCAGGAACCAAAAAATCTTCTGTTTCCCCAAGGTATTTGGTTAGTGTTAGAAAATGACTAAAGCATAGGTTCTTTCTGTGACTCATTCTGGCCTCAAATTTATAATCTGCCCTTTGCCGTCTCTGCTAGGATTGCAAGTGTGCATCACCACAATGCCCTGCAGGTTACTCCTCCAGTGTATTCAAAGGGAGTTCTAGTCCACATTTGAGGGGAGAATTAATACTGTAATTCTTGTATTTAACAAAGATTTATAATTATAAAATAGAGAAATTTAATTATTCACCCTCAATTGCTGAAAGCTTGTATGTCAACATTTCCCCTTTAGAAAGATACATCTCACTTTCTATACCTTTTTCAAGGGGACAGCAGAGATCTTGAAGGACTTCTAATAGGACTGACCTATTTCAAGCATAATTGTATGAAGAAGCAATGATTCTAATAAAGGGGTAAAAGATAAGCAAATTTTAGGTCATGGGGGCAAATTCTGACTGTTGTGTGCGAGTAGGAACTGATAGTCATTGAGCTTTTGCTGGAGAAAAATCTGAGGTAGATGTATGCTATGATTAGACTGGTGTGTTCCTTTAAAAGAAAAGGTGTTTAAAACAGTGTAGCATCTTTTGTAATTGAGTCTTTTTTATATATACTTTTAAAAATCAACATAGCATTTGTACATATTTTGTGGGGTTCAATGATACTGTGTGCAACATGTAACGGTCAGGTGAAAATAGTCATGTCTGTCACTCAGACGTAAGCATTAATTGCTGTCAGTTGTAGCTTTACTATGATAAGGCTGTCCCTACTGACCACCCCTCCCCCACTCTTCCCAAGTTCTGATAACCACTGTCCTATGCTCTCAGAGGTCATGTGAGATTATGCAGTATTTACTTTTCTGTGCCTGGCTGGTTTTGCTTGACATAATGTTGATGAACTTCTTTTGAACATTGTAAGGTGATTTTTAATATAGTGGCCAAGAGTTTTGGAGGTGGGTAAACTAACTGTTCCTGGAATCTGAAACCCCTACCTAATTCAGTATATTTTCTAGTGGGTTAAGAGAGCAAAATAGTACAATAATGATAATAAGATTTATTTCAGAATGGTTAAATGAGGTAATACCATCGTGTGTTTATTTCTATCCCAGGGCTTACTTTGAGCCCTCAAATATGAACTGTCCTTTTTTGTTGATGAAGAATGTAGGGTCTGTTGTGCCCTTAAAGGTTATTTTAGGGTAATCTTTACTGCTTGAGTGCAGCTTAGAGGTTGCAGTGAAAATGGACTACTTTCTTACTGCTTTATTGAGAACCCAGAACAATCACTGTAGTAATAAAGCTTTGTTAATTATGTATCCTTTGTTTGTTTCTTTTTGTGTGGGGGTGGGGTGAGGAGGCTTTCAGGCAAGGTGGTATTTTGGCTGCTTAGCCTTTACACACACACACACACACACTACTAGAATGTTGGTCATAAACTGCACTCCCAATCCAACATCCCCAGTCCCAAATGCAGAGTAGCCAGGCTTGCAGACATAAATAAAGCTGGGCGGTGGCACAAGGCTTTAATCACAGCATTTGGGAAGCAGAGGCAGGCAAACTGGACTACAGAGTGAGTTCTAGGACAGCTAGGTCTACACAGAGAAACCCTGTCTCGAAAAAACAAGATACAATTGTAGTGGGTAGCCCTTCCAGCTTTGATCTGTAAGTTCCAACCCCCATTGAAGCTAACTCATGGCGGTAACTGTCACACCTACAAGGCATGGCCTAGAGAGGACTCGGAAGACCCGAGATCCAGATGTGCTGGCTCTCTTGGTTCCTGGACCCTGGACACTGGAGGTAGACCAAGCAGAGTTCTCCAGAGAACACCTCTGGACTGCGATACACCTTTCCCAGACCCTGTAACCAATCCCTTCACATGTAAGTTACCCCACAAAAGAAACCTCCCTTTTAACTAAAAAATAAATAATAATAATAATAATAATAATAATAATAATAATAATAAAATGAAAAAGTTGCCCTCTAGGAGGGAGAGCCCATGCAGATGTCTCTTTGCTACTTTGTCTTTCACTGCTTTTTTTTTTTTTTTTTTTAGAAGAGGGTGCTAGATCTCATTACAGATGTTTGTGAGCCACCATGTGGTTGCTAGAAATTGAACTCAGGACCTCTGCAAGAGCAGTCAGTGCTCTTAACCTCTGAGCCATCTCTCCAGCCCTTCACTGCTTTTAGTAATAATCACCCATAGCTTTTCTAAGGAAAGTGTCAGAAGTACTTTATCTTCCTGGAGCTGACTTTAAAACAAGGTCAAATAGACTACACAGAAAGTAAATGCAGAGGCAGAATGGTTAAGAGAAGCCAGTAAACAACTGAAGAAGTTCCGGAAAGGAGAGTAGAAATTGTCTTTTTCTTACTACACATGCCCCTTTGATTCTGTCATATAGGCAAACTAAACGTCTCACTGACCAGTCACATTTCAGAGCTGAAATAAATGTGCACGTGTTACCTCATTTGTCAACAGTGGAATCCTGCAGTTCTAAAAGGAAGTGGCATTTGGTATACACAAAATGAAATGTCAGCTTTATTCTAGTGCCACAATAAGGAAAATATCTAACATCTACAAGTGAAATCGTTACCTTCAGTATAAAAGTATTGTGTGCCAGTATTTGAGATACTATCTCCAACAAATATGCACAAGCTTGTTTTTACTTGGACTCACTGGGTTAACTGGTTTTGTGCTGTGTGGGAAGTGCCCTGAGCTGAGATGTACAGTTGCCTCCATATGTTTGGGTCTTAAGTCTGAGGAGTCTACCATCTATGGGTTGAAATTCAGAAAAATTATGTCTGTGTA